CGCCTGGCCGCCGCCAACGGCCCGCGCCCCGGCGCAGGGAGCAAGCGTGCGCAGGCGGGGGCGCGCGCGTGCCCGGTGGGGGCCCCACGCACGTTCGGCCCCGCCACGCGGGGCGCTGCAGTGCGTCCTCCGCGAAGCCTTCTGGGCTCGGGAGCTGAGCCAGTCCTCTTGAGACCCCCAGCCCTTAACTGGAATGTCTGCGTCCCCTTCCCTCGGGCTGGTGGTGGGAGAATCTGCAGTTTGTTCGCCTGCCCATCCCAGCGTCCGACCAGAAACAGCAGGCACACAGGGGGCGCCTGCTGAGTGTGTGAACCCCCACGGTAGAGCAGGGCACTCTGCGAGAGAAAAACGGTAACAGCAGCGGTCACTCGGTCTCACACCTTCCCAGGCTGGGCGCTCTCATGCACTCCTGGTTCCATCTGCGCCCAGGATAAATGCAGCGGTGCTGGTCTGCATTTCGGAGAGGACAAAACGGACACCAAAAAGGATGGACCATGGAATGAGCTGAGAGAGGCCCCCTCCCCACCTCCTCAGCCACCACCGAACTTCCCCTTCCCGACTGCCCTCGTGGGTGGGGCCCTCAGAGACCGGGGACCAGCAGGAGACCAACAGAGGTCTTAGCAACGCCCCAAGCCTCTGTGTTGCAGCAACAGGCCAGTAGGCAAGGTGGCACTGCACTTGGGCCAGACTTCCTTTTGCTTATGGAGCATGCGGCAGCCCCAGGCCGCAGGCCGGAGCCCCCACCCTGGGCCACTGAGAATGTGAGTCCTTCCAGGACACTCCTGCTTCTGTCACGGGGTCAGGGTGCCTCCCCATCACCTCAAAGGCCAGGAAGGGTGCCGGTAGCCATGTCCTGGATTTGATCCTGGCCATGGGAGAAACTGCCTAGTTCACTCAGGCTGTGGGGTGTGTGTGTGTGTGTGTGTGTGTAGGGGATATTAGGGAGGAAGAGTGCATGGCTGGTGGCTCCATGGGAGTGGAGGCCACAGCCCAGGCCTGAGACCCACCTGGGGGGTGCGGGTGGGCGGTTCCTCCCCAGGTTCTGCGGCAGGCCGAGGACTGGACAACCAGCCTCAAGACAGATCTTCCCTCAGATCTACAACTGAGTGAGGAGCAGCAGCTGCAGGTTGGTGTGGGGCCCTGGGGTGCTAGCAAGGAGGGGTCCCACAGACCCCACCTCTTACTCTGGCCACCCACAGATCTCCAAGGAGTTGGTTGACCTGCAGATCACAACGCATCACTTGCGGGAGCAACACGAGGCTGAACTCTTCGAGCTGAAGAGTGAGGTGGGTGCTGATGTGTGCCCACATGTGCCCTGAACACACAGGAGGAGGGTGCATACCAAGGACCAGTGCTGGGAGGGGTCCGGGGGCACCCCATGTGATTGTACACACTCACGGGGTGCCTGTGTCTCCACCTCTCCCGCGTGTGCTGTGGTGCCCTGCATGGGTCCAGATGATGTTGACCTGCCCCGGGTGTCCTGGCAGGCAGGCGCACCTGCTCACCCTGGCCACCCTGCAGGTCCTGCGGCTGGAGAGCCGGGTGCTGGAGCTGGAGCTGCATGGAGATTGTGCAGCCCCGGCAGAGGCTGACCTGGGGCGCCGCCAGAAGCTGGCACAGGGGCTTGGGCACAAGGCCCAGGAGCAGGTACACTCCATCCACCACAGACCCCAGGTCACCCTAAGTGCATGGAGGGCCTGCCTGGGTGGATTGGGCGGCGGGGAGCCAAACAGGGGTGCACAGGGGCGCAGTGAGGTTGGGACCGGCTCTCCTGTACAGGCACAGCCCGAGGACTTCTTGACCCCTAAGACCGAACAACAGAAGCTGGGGAACAGTGTGAGTGTGCAGCTCCCTAGCCTGGGAATTAGTGCAGATCTGTCCCAGCCCAGGGTGCGGCTGGGCAAGGCCAGGGACCCAGAGCTTGGGGTCTCATTCAGCCAGCCCTTGTGTACCCGGCAGCTACAGGGGGAATGGCAGCGAGTGCTGGAGCAGCACAGGGCCCAGAAGCAGGCACTGGAGACCCGCGTGTGAGTGGCTGCCTCACCCGGGATGGGGAGGATCCGGGAGGGCACCTGGCGCAGATCGGCTGTTCCCAAGAGGCAGAGGGAGGCCCCGCCCTGAGCCCAGCTGAGCTTGACGCCCACATCTGCAGGGCAGATCTGGGTCGGCGGCTGCAGGGAGCCCGAGAGGAGGCCAGGATGGCTGGGCAGCGACTGGCCACACAAGCCATGGTGAGGCCCAGCCCTATCCCCTGACATCTGGTAGATGGGTGTCCTACAACGTCAGCAAAGGGCCACCTCGTGGAACGTAGGTTCAAGGCTGCCTCCACCCGCAGGTATTGTCCGCCTGCCAGGGCCAGCTCCGCCAGGCTGAGGCGGAGAACGCCCAGCTGCAGCTGCAGCTCAAGAAGCTGAACCAAGAGTATGCCATCCAGCTGCAGCGATGTGCCCAAGCCGTGGCCGTGAGCACCACCTGGGGGTGGCCCTGTGCTGGGTGGGAGGCTTCGGGTCCCGCGGAGCCCAAGCCTGGCCCGAGTGCGCTGGGCTGCTTCCGGGAGACCCCGTGGGCCCGGCCTGCCGCACGGCCCAATCTGCTCCACAGAGGGAACCGTGGGAGGAAGTGTGGGCCCAACCAAGCCCCGCCCTTGTCAGCCCTGGCCCCACCCCCACCCCCAGCCCCGCCCAATCTCCTCCAGGAGTCTGCAAAGCGCACCGGCCAGGTGCCGGAAGCCGCAGCCCTGAGGACGTTCCTGGAGACCACTCTGGAGGACATCCGGGCAGCACACCGCAGCCGTGAACAGCAGTTGGCCCGGGCTGCTCGCGCCTACCGCAAGCGCCTGGCAGATCTGAGCCGTAGACATGAGGAGCTGCTGGCCAACCACAGGTGGGCCCGTCCCTGAGACGGGCACCTGGGGGTGGGGTGGCCCTGTATGACCCGACATGTGGCTTAGTGTGCAGCAGGTGCCGGCAGACCCCAGTGGGGCACCCTGGACCCCCAAGGCTACCTTTGATGCAGCCACCTCAGACCTGGAGCCACTGCCTCTGCACCTGGTCACCAAACTCAGTCACCTACCAGAGAACCAGGCCAGGCTGGAGACGAAGCTTTGGAAGCTCCAGGCCCAGGTGGGCTCTCCCTGCTGCCCTACACTGGCCTTGGAGCTCAGAGCCCCAGAAGAAACCCCAGCCCCATGACAGGCTCAGCAAAGGTCCAACCCTTGAGTAGCCTGCCTTACTGAGCTGACAGAGAATTCCTACCACACAGCCTTTCCAGTCCAATGGGCTCATGACGCTGCTCTTGTTCCTACAGAAGGGACCCAGTGGAGCCTCCCAGGGGAGCACATCAGAGCCACAGTGAGTACCCTGGGGTGTGTGTTGGGGAGATCTGCGGGGAGAGCATTCATTTATTCCCCCAACTCTAACTGCGGGGTGGGAGAACAGGGAGGCCCATCTGTGTCCTTGGGTCTCGGTCTATATGGGGGGCATCAACAATCACAGAAAGCCAAGTGCCTGGGGTGAAGGGGGTACCTGACAGGAGAGGGGCTAACCGTGACTAGAAGGATCAGGGAGGGGCGCCTGGGTGGCTCAGTCGGTTAAGCGTCCGACTTCGGCTCAGGTCATGATCTCACGGTCCGTGAGTTCGAGCCCCGCGTCAGGCTCTGTGCTGACCGCTCAGAGCCTGGAGCCTGTTTCTGATTCTGTGTCTCCCTCTCTCTCTGCCCCTCCCCTGTTCATGCTGTCTCTCTCTGTCTCAAACATAAATAAACGTTAAAAAAAAAAATTAAAAAAAAAAATAGAAGGATCAGGGAGAGACCCTGAGGAAGGGACATTT